GCGCACCTCGTGATCAATCATTCCAGCGCAAGACGGGTTATGTCCAGCAACAGGATCTTCATTTGCAAACTTCTACTGTCCGCGAGGCTCTACGATTCAGTGCTCTTCTTCGCCAGCCTGCTCACGTTCCTAGGGAAGAAAAGCTCGAATACGTCGAGGAGGTTATCAAACTGCTGGACATGGAAGAATATGCTGGCGCTGTTGTCGGTGTCCCAGGTGAAGGTCTGAATGTCGAGCAGCGAAAGCGATTGACCATCGGTGTTGAACTTGCTGCTAAGCCTCCCCTGCTGCTCTTCGTCGACGAACCTACCTCTGGTCTCGATTCTCAGACATCTTGGGCTATTTTGGATCTCCTGGAGAAGTTGACCAATGCTGGCCAGGCTATTCTCTGCACTATTCATCAACCTTCTGCTATGCTCTTCCAGCGTTTCGATCGTCTTCTCTTCCTTGCCAAGGGCGGCAAGACCGTCTACTTTGGTGATATCGGCAAGAACTCCTCAACTCTGACAAACTACTTTGAGCGCAATGGAGGTCACGCTTGCCCCCCTGAAGCTAACCCGGCTGAATGGATGCTGGAAGTGATTGGTGCTGCCCCCGGATCACACACTGATGTTGATTGGTTTAAGACGTGGCGCGAGAGTCCCGAATATACCGCAGTTCAGACAGAATTGGAAAGCATTAAGGCTGAGCGAGCCAGTGAGGTCCAGGCTGGTCAGGATGTTGAGGATCCTGGAAGCTATCGCGAGTTCGCTGCTCCTTTCCATGAGCAACTCAAGCAGAACCTCTATCGTGTCTTCCAGCAGTACTGGCGCAGCCCTATTTACATCTATTCCAAGACAGCCCTTTGCTCCCTTGTTGCCCTGTTCATTGGTTTCATCTTCTTCAGAGCCCCGAACTCGATTCAAGGTCTCCAGAACCAGATGTTCGCCATTTTCAACATTCTGACCATCTTCGGCCAAATTGTGCAGCAATCCATGCCGCAATTCGTTATCCAGCGAGACCTCTATGAAGCTCGAGAGCGTCCTTCCAAGGTATACTCTTGGAAGGTCTTCATGTTGTCACAAATCATTGTCGAGCTTCCCTGGAACTCTCTCATGGCTGCTATCATGTATTTCTGCTGGTACTACCCTGTCGGCCTTTACGCCAACGCTGTCCCAACTGATGCCGTCACTGAACGAGGTGCTCTCATGTTCTTGTTCTTGCTCACCTTCCTCCTTTTTACTGGTACTTTCTCCACGCTTATCATTGCCGGATTTGAAACCGCCGAGAACGGTGCAAACATCGCCAACATGTTGTTTATGCTTACCCTCCTCTTCTGCGGTGTTCTTGCTGGCCCGGACACCATGCCTCGATTCTGGATTTTTATGTACCGAGTGTCCCCGTTCACATATTTAGTCAGTGGTATGCTTTCGACGGCTGTGGCTGGAGCTCCTGTCGTATGTGCCGATAACGAGTTCCTTTCCATCATTCCTCCGGATGGCCAAACTTGCCAGCAATATCTCAACGACTACATTAACGGTGTGGCGGGCTCCACTCTCAAAATTGATCAACCCCATGGCGGTTACCTTCAGGACCCTCTTGCTACTGCAGAATGTCAGTTTTGCCCTATGGCATCGACCGATGCGTTCTTGGCCGGTGTCAACATCGACTACAAGGATCGGTACAGGAACTTCGGTATCATGTGGGCATACATCATTTTCAACGTCTTTGCTGCCCTCTTCGTTTATTGGTTGGCCCGTATGCCCAAGAAGAGTGGTGTGACGAAGAAGAAGCAGGCCTAATCGGAAAAAGAAAAGACAGCCGAAATAACAAACAAACAAACAAACAAACAAACAAAGACGAATGATGATCGCTATTTCACGCGAGTTGCAAGTGGTGCATCTTGGATATGTCTTGACAACTCAAAATCTCTCACTTTAATGTATCATGGTTTCAGGAGTTTCTCGATAGACGAGCAACCAAAAATGTTCTAGGACTTTCTCCCATTCATACACTTTCGCTATATATGTCTCATATTCCCATCTACTAATTTTTCTTCCCCGTCATTCAACCCATATATATAGATTACAGTATAATAGAATGCATGCGAGTCTCACACACTCATTGAAAATACACTTAGTTGTCAACTTCAAGTCTGCTCTCTTTCCTGAGACATGTCAATTTGATCCAGCAGTTGGTTCTTCATTTTGTTTTTTTCTTCAGTTTAGACCTGCCAAGGAGCATTCAATGCCGAGCGAGTCATTGGGGTTTGATATATAACTCACCTGCCGCGGTGACATTTGAAGAGCCACATTCCAATAGGTATCCATGGGCCAGGAAACTGATGCCGGGTGAGCATCTGAGAGGCATGTGAAGCAGCGCGGCAAGCTGGCGGTGATCAAAAGTGGTTCTTGGCACGAATCTATGTGAATGGCATATGACTTGGGTGAATACTGGTCTGACTCTTAGTTGAATCAGTAGAATGTCTAGGATCTTCTACATATGCACAGAATGCATTCCAGCCAGACGGTGATCACCCCAAACATTCAGCCATCCCATCCATTCAAACATGGCCATTGTGAGATTCTGTACGCGGAATGCCCCGCCGTTGATTCCCATCTGAGACAGACCATCTTTGGTGTTGATTCTTCGTCATAGGCACGCATGATGGTGTCGCCTGACCACAAGGGCATTTCCCAAGCGGCCATTGAGTCCACGTTACTTTCCCAGACACGGAAAGGGTTTTCGGTAGCTTGGCGAAGTTGTCACTGTTGGTGCCAGTCCACCCAGATCGAGATGTGTGAAAACGCGCTGAACCGTGTCTCGTGACCCAGACGCGTCGAGCAAGTGGTGGTCTGGTTTGTTTTGTTTTTGCCTGCCTACCAACCTATTGTTGGGATTGGGCTCCGAACACGCCCTTCAACCCCGCACGAAGTAATCACTAACGGTCACTGCTAAGGGACTCGTCGCCGAGGCTAGTATAATTGCAGACTGGGAGGAGTGTGGTAGGAGGATGGTGGGGGGTGCCAGCCGGGTGAAAGGTGCTTTTGTAATTAAAGCTTTAGGATAGGAAGGTTGTTGTAGAGGGTGGATGGGCTAGGACGTCTATTCACACGACGATGGCTCAATGGATGAGGTCCTGGTGTCAAATACTTGATAGTCTTTCTGAAGCTGTGATCATCCACGCGTGAGTCTCCGACGACCGGAAAGGCCGAGGCGTGGCTCCAAGCTGTCAGGCTTAGATCGAAGATAGATCGAGATTTCATCCCACTAATACGACTTGTTTAACTCGCTCAGGCGGTGCCATCGACGGTGATGGAGTATTCCGTCCTAATAACCGGGGCTGCCAGTCAGGCTATTTGCTGTTCATGGAGAGCCTGATTACCCAAGCAAGGCCGATCTTGGGGGGACGGAGACGTATGCCCGTTTTCGACGGAAAGTAGTTGCGTGCGAAACAATCGCTCCACGGAAGTACTGGGATAGCCGGCCGTAAATCCAGACGACTTGCGTCTGAGGAGCAGGAGAGACCAGCGGACGGTCAGCTCCGTTTGGCCAACCCTTCTCACCTCAAGCGAAATGACGTATTCATGTCGAGGCCGGCGGTGTCCACACTTCGTTCTAAAATCCATTACGGCAGAAGGGAGAGTTTGCCGTCGCATGGAGTTGTCGCTCCAAGGGGGCTGTTGCTAGCCCAGCCAACAGGCAGGCTGTTTGTTACCAACGATCTCGGTGGAAATCCCAGTGTAGCGGTAATAAGGACGGGGGGCCTCGCATGCTGGAACCAGTCTGCGGCCGGGGCGAGAGCTAGTGCCTCCATCAGCTACCTCCAGGCAAGGTTCATCCGGCTGCTTATGTTAATTTACCTTACCTAGCCCACCAGTCGTTTCCTGGACGAGCATCGGTTTCGCATAATCAATTTTTTGCCGTCTTGCGTGGCGGCGAGGAGATTGCGCAGTAGTTCGGCCCCCATCGGATTGGAACGCTGCGGCAGCCTTCAATAACAGCACCTCTGCCTCTATGCGCACCCTGCCTATTGACCTGAATCCAAGGCTCCCGGCTGCCCTATGCACTGGCCCTCGGTGGTGTCCTCGTGGCCCCTCTCCCCCCTCCTCTTGGTCGGGTGTTTGATAGCTGCCAGGAGAACCATCATGCAAGCCCTTCACGTGTCGCGGTGGGGCCCATTGAGTATTGGAAGTGCCTCATGGGGACTAGCTCCAGGCACAGCGCCCTGATTGGCTGCGCGGAGGAATGCGGTTGAGCCGTGTTGTGTCCACCTGAAAGGGGAATGAGATGGAGCGATGGGAGGCGCAACTGGATAAATTTCTTTTTCGGAGACTTAGGTAAGGTGGGGACATTGCTGGGTACCTTTCCCAGTTGGAGCCCCTGAGTCGGACTTTCCCATCAGACGAAAAGTGAAAAAGGGGAGTCACAAGAAGAGAAGAAAATCAGAAAAAAGGTGACAAAACGTGGAAAAGATGCGCCACCACTCTCTGGCCATGCTAGGCGGACGGGCCCTATCGTCTGCTCATCTCGCACCGATAATGCGGCAGAAGATAAGGAACCTAGTAATACTCATCCTCGGACAGCATTGGCACCTGCTCACCTGTCTCTTCGGTGGCACCTTCGGTGATCCTTCTAGCCCCGAGAGAACAGATGCCTATCTGGCTTACAGTCCCGAAAACCCATCTGTTTTTATTAATAAATCGCGGGCATGTGCCCTTGCCCCATAGTGTCGTTCATGGATGAATAATGGAGGAGCAGGGATAGGCCATGATGACATGGCACAGGTTGAAAGTCCGCCTTGACTTGTTGAGTGCCACATTTCGGCATCTGTTGGGCTCATTCGCTTCGCTACGTTCGTATGTAGGGAGACACGCAACGAGAAGAGAGTGCTGGGTTGCATTCTGTGAGTTGCCCCTCATCTTGATATTAGGTGGCCCAGTTGAATAGCGGAGAGCATTGACTGCAGGCGGCAAGACGCATTATGGGCATGCGCCTGGCTAATTCTCCTGTCACAAATCATGGTGGCTGCAGGAAGCAAGGAAGTGGCCTGCAGCGACTTGCAGCGATCCGACCAATGCCGTCGCTCGGATCAAGAGGTTTGGGGTAATTGGCAGCAGTTTTGACCAAGAGGCGAATGACTCTGAATCAGTAATTACGTCGATGACAATGTCAACCACGGCATTGGTAAGGGGCAAAGTGGAATGATGACGGTGGCGGCGCCTTTGACGCCTGGTGGGTGAAGCGAGAGGTCGATGGCGCTCAAGCCCATTTGAGTCTTGGCTGTGACTATTCGCGGATGCAGCCAGGTGGCCGGCACATCACAGGAGGAGTTGGTGCCGTCCTGGCCAATCTGGCTGTTGGTGCCCTTCCCTATCGGTCCCAATCCGAAGATCTACTTTGCGCCGCGCGCACATCACTTCATGCCATGCCACCCAATGCGCGGCCATCCGCCTTTTAACCCCGTTGTCCTTAATATCCGTAGCCGAGATCAACGCAGCCAACGCTTCGCATCATATGTATGCAGGTAGGGTGGTGGCTACAGCCAGTCTAATCTGGCTGGTTTGTGATGTGTGTTTTACATGTGCATTTGAAGGAACAGGTGGAATTACCCGTGGTTGAACAGCATAAACACCAATCCAAATCGAACGCCCCCGATAGACGAATGATTGGTCACCAGTAGAAAAGAAAGTGAACAAAGTACGCATGCGACTGTGCCTATCACCCAATCCTACGCACTCTCCGCCCCCCTGCAGGGCGAGAATGTGGTCGCTGTAGTAGCAATTTAGGATGCCTAACGGCTCCTAAACGTTTTAGCGACAGGGCTAGTGCCCCCACCATGAACCCTGCGACATCTCGGCGGGTATTGAGTGTGTGTGGTTGCGTGCTCATAGCGAGATTGATTCGGTTGTCCATGTTCGCAGGATGGAGGAGTAGGTTTCTAATGACAGATCCCCTCGTGGGCGAGCGGCTGCCGAAGAAGCTTGGACGCGATGATGGGCATAACCACGCCTCCCTCAGCTATTAATAACCGGCAGAAGATCGCAAGCTCTAGGTATCATCTACCTAATTTTGGGGCTTCTGAGGCGGATGAGAGGCCATGCATCACTGTCGGATGACTGGCTGTCGGTTTGATTCCTCCCTCCTGGTGGGAGTCTTACGCCAGCCACCCTGATTTTCGGGAAGCCTCTCGATTGGTGACGGGCACCTAGACCAAAAAGAACTCGAGCTGCAGAGGTGTTTCAACTCATATGTCTTAGAACAGGCTGAGACGTGCGTCGCCCGGGGGCTGCACTGTTTTGATTAGAATAAGCCACAGACTCTCAACACCATAGACGATTCTTCCAGGCTCACCTCCGATAGTAGTAGCTATTACGCACTCGCATGCAGGCACGCGCGCACATATGCACCAATAGGCGGTATGACCTCTGATGAAAGATACTGGGAGAACGTCCCACCGAGGCGCGCTGGCATGCATAGACATGCATGCTACATCAGAGCTGCGCTTTGCTTTTGGGTCTCTTCTCGCTTCTGCATCCGTCAAAGCGTACGCACATGTTCAGTTTGGGGTCTATCTCGATTTCTCGATGTTACCTTGCCTCCGCCTAGGCGGAACTCGTACGACGACGGTCAACCTAGCTCGACGCAATTGCATGCTGGCCGAGTTGTACTGCAGGGGCGGGCTGGAAGGTGACTGTCTCACAACAGGCAGGTTGATTCACGCTGCGCAGAGCGCGCTGTTCGCTCATTTCCTTCGCCGCACAAGGCAAGCGGTTATGAGGTAGGGAGGTCGCTGTCTTGTTCGGGAAGACGGTACAGAGCTCTCTGTCAGAGGGGACATGGTGCCCGCCGTTTATTGGCGATCCTGTTCCTGTCGTGCATAAGACGTTCGGCGGAACTGAGTATACGAGCCATGCCATGGTTACGTGGTGCTTCACTGGCTGTGCTTCCTCCTCGTGGACTTATGCTGTGCTTGCACCACTGCCAGAGCCGCCCAGCTGCACTTGCCTCCCGTATCTAGCCCAAGAACGCGGATCTGCATCGTGAACACTGGATTCTCTCGCGCTGGGCAAGTCTTACCTGGGGCTAGGTTGGGCAGCGCAGTGCACTCCAGCGGTATGACGGCCCTAATTACAGCAGGTCCCTGCTCTCTCATTCCAGGTAGATTAGCTGACCTCTCCGCACACGACCACCACGGGCTCGGGCATGGCAAGGCCAGGTACTTAGCTGGTAGTAGCTCGAAAAGAAATGAAGCCTTTCAGTGGGCAGGCAGGCAAAGCCCTGGCCGCTGGACTGACTTAGGTGCAGTGCAAATACAAACAAAATAAAGCACCCCGCCGCACCATTGGCCTAGTGCGCGCTGTGGCGTGTCCATATCAGATCCCCGTTCGTAGTGACTTGGTACCTGAGGTTAGTTGTCCAATGTGGGAGGCAGGTGCTGGGATTAGCCTATCCTGGGCCCACCTCTCCTTCCCTAGAGTGCCCCTGTCAAGTCACCCGCTTGCTCACTCTCCCACTCCCATGCGTTCTTGGCTTGCCCATGGGCCACTACGGACAGGACGGACGAGGATGGACCAGGCCTAATTTTCTCCCCTTCCCAGCTGGACTGGACCGACTTCTGGGTACGTAGTTCGTCGTCCAAGGGCCCTTCATTTCTTCATCAATTCGAGGCGCGGACTTCTTCCCCTTCTGTGCCTCCTTCTCTCCTACCATTCTCTCGTTTTCACGGCTTCGAGATCCGGCTGTCGTACACTCGTTCTCGCACTCTCTCTGGACTTCTCGACACCGACACTCATCGCCATTTTTTGGGTTTGCCGCTTTTTCGAAGAGTAGCTCAACCTGCACCCGCCTTGCACAACGTCCCTCTCCCGTTCGGTAACTTTTACTCGTGGCCCGCCCACTCGCACGCCCCCCCCGGAGGATCATCGAAAAAGAAAAGGCAAAGGAAAGGAGGGCAGAAAAAAGCAAACAAAGGCAAGGAAGCTGAGAGACGTTTTCCACCTCTCTCTTTTTTTTTTTTTTTTTTTAATCCACGGAACCCCCCGATCTTGGGAGATTATCACCCTGCAACCCTTTTCCGGCATTTGGCCTCTACTGCAGGAGACTTCAGCTTTCTTTGGTCGACCGTGCGACGCTCAGCTCATCATTTCCCCCTGATCCCCCCGCAAGGAGACCTGCCTTTGGATGGCGCTCAACCTCCGTTTATGAGTTCGACTGCACCCGATGTTCTCAAAGGTACTTGACGGAGATTTCAGATTCCTTTAAATTGTTGTGAGAGCCCTCTTGAAGGAAGTCAATTGTACGTGTGCACCTATAATATCGCCAGTTGAGCCGGATGGTTTAGATCCCATCATCTCTAGCTGGTTCAACATTCTTGCACGGGAATTGTCGAAGCTGACCAACTATTGCCTGGATAGGGATTCGAAATCGAACCACATTGATTACAGTGTCGAGCGTCAGATGAAACTAGTCTGAGGAGTGCTGATCCTATCCTCACCAACATTATTTTCGCCATCAGCATCGCCCACGCCTAATTTGCCAACAACATGCATCGTCTCCGAGGAAAGAAGAAGGCTCAGGAGGAGCCTATTCCTCCTCGGCCTTCGGTCGAATCAGACCAGTCAGGTCCTTTCAAAATGTTTGGCCGGTCGAAAAAGGTGGTGGAGGAGCCCAAGCTGGAGATCGATCTTGCCACAGCCCTTCCCTCGAGCGATGACTTCAGAACCAGCTTGTTGATGACAGGACTTTCAGCTCGGTTTTCCATGCTGCGGGAGCAGGATGACCCTTCCAGTAAGCTTGGAAAGGCCAGCGACGACAGCGTGTTGTTTCCCAGGCGACAGTCAAGGTTGGACTTCGGACTCAACACCGGTTTGACCGATATTGCGGAGGTTGCTTCTATCAGATCCAACACCTACGCTCGGTTAGAAGGTGGATATATACCGGACGATGTTCCCACGACCCCTACGAGCATGATGACCCGAGGGAAGCCGGTGGAGGGAAACAACCTATTCGGCGGCAGACAAAAGATTTACAAGATCTCGGGCACAGGATCCACCAAGTCTGTACATCTTTCAGGGCGCGCGCTCTATGAGGATGATGTGGCTATGTCTTCTTTTCAAAAATGGAGACAAACTGAGAGAGGGAAGTCGTCTCTTGACGGGTACGACGAGTCGGCCGATAATGTAGATACATTTGATCTTGGCCCCGAGTCACCATTCCGACAGGATTTTAACAAAAGACGGGAGACGAACTCGACAACTTCGTCAGTGCCCTCAGCGGCTCGAAATTCCACCGCTGCCACGTCTGTTGCATCATCGCAGCCAGCATCTTCTCTGAAAGACTGGCAACCTTCTACGATAGCCGCACAACACTCGAATAGCTCAACACCCCACGTCGAGCGGAGTGTCACACGCACACGTCGGTTGTATGAACAGAGCTTGACACAAGACCTCCAGGAACACCAATCATCAGCTCTTTCTCGCATTGATACACTGTCCCGCCAACGCCACTTCAGCAGGACGCCTGACCTCACTCCTGGGGCCCCGTCACCAACCAGCGCAACTTACAACGAGCGAGCCATAACTCAGCAACGATCAATCCTCACCAAAGCGAGCGCGCCGAACCTTCGCTCATTCAGCCCACCGAACACTGGTGGTTCGCAGCATGGCACAATCCCCAAGCTGCCGAAGATGGAGACGAGGCAGGGATTTACGACTTCACCTCCTTTGAGTCCACCAATCAGCGAAACTGGCGAGCCACAATCATTTGCCTCACTTCCAAATGATGCTGGAAAGCCCTCTGGACATAGCTACTTCAGCCGACCAACACAGCAATACGACGAGGGAAAGTTTGCCCAGCGCCAACGACAACTTCAGCAGGCGAGTGAGCCAACCTCAACGCAAATCCGAAGAGAGTCTGGTGCATCGACGCCTACCAGCCGTTCGCGATCTTCTTCATCAGTCTACCGAGTGCCAGTCGAAAAGACAGATGGCGGATCTATTCGACCAGAGCCAACTGTGAAAGAAGAAGACATGGTCACTTCATTCTTGGATATGGGTGATGATGATGAGTCGATCGAGCCTGTACCAATACCAGCCAGGCATTCTGATCACAGACCTGCCCCAGTGCAAATAGAGCGACCAGCAGATAATGAACACCCTGCTCTGAGGAAGGCGAGCATTCCTTCTCCTCTACCACTCATCCAGGGAAGTGACGAGGCACCCAATGCGAAGGACTCCGAAACCGAATCTCCTGAGGATTCCCCAACCTTGGGTCCTGTCTCGGGTCTCAGTGGAATGGTGCGTCAGCATCTACGAACTACAAGCAACACATCATCTGCATATGATGATGAAGATGACATTGATGACCGGGCTTCTACACAGTCACCCACTGCTGAGCGGTCAAATCATTTGATGCCGACTATGCCATCTCGAATCAACACATCAAGAGAAAACTCGTCGCCCATGCCATCTGGAAGCATTAGAACTCCCACTAGTCCTGCAATGCCCACACCATTTCAACCTCGTCAGACTCCTCAGGTACCCCAGCAACCTCCTCCATTGCCTCCTTCCCAACACACTCATTCAGACTCTCTTCCTGATACTGGGGCACCAAAAGAGTCACAGGAATATGATGAATTCGCCCGCCATTTGGCAGATGGTGCTCGCCGGGTTCGCGAACGACTGACATCTTACGTTGAATCCGACCACAGCCGATCGTCTTCACCTGCTCCCACTCCTGCTCCCAGCCAGGAAGCATACCATCCCCCACGTGGATCGAGCCTTCGTCGCCCTGAACGTAGCAGAGCGACCTCAACCGAAGGAGAGCGGCCCCCGAGGGACCACAGTCAGTCAAGGGCTATGAAATTGCTGGGACTCGGTTTGACTCACCAATCGACATCGCCGCCTCTCCCCAACCACCCGGCGTTTGAGAACAGTGATGCTACCGCCAATGAATCTGTGCGCAGAACTTCGGAGGAACAAGAAGCTGCAGATGACAAGGGAGAACCTGTCCATGCTGGCTTGAAGGCCTTCCGCCAGGCGCGACGAGAATTGCAGAGGATGAAGGAAAAGGAGGTTCAGCAGAGATATCAGGGACCTTCAGACTCGCGCCCCTCTCCCAATGGCCAAGTCCCTGACCCGCCCAACCACATGCCGCCCCCTCCTCCCTCTCAACGGTCACCTGCTCCCAACGGGTGGCAAGACCGCAACGGACCTCCAGTATCGTATAATCGAATGTCAAACGAGGATCGAAGGAATGGGAGCAGGTCAAGGACCGGCTCTGTCGGCCCGTATGATCGAGACAGGAGCGGATCGGAAACAAGCAACTATGGCCCTCCTCGACCCCGTCAGACATCATCGCCGTATGGTGATTATGAACGCCCCTATAGCCCAGCTATGAATGGAATGCCTCCACAGGGCTATGGCCAACGGCCGTCGGGCACGCCTGACTACAGACGACAGATGGGTATGGCTTCAAACGCAAGTTCTAGAGACACTTCGCCAGCTAGAAGTCCATATCCTCGCCCCTCCACTGGGAATAGCGGACACATGGGCATGAGGCAAGGGCCAGGGGCCAGCCCCAATGCTATGGGATCTGCTCCCCCATTGCCTCCCATTAACCCAAGACGAAAGAACCAGGGAAGCGACGTTGGGCGGGATGGTCCTCTAAACATACCAATGTCCGACAAACCCATGACCGGACGGCCACCTGTTCGAATGCCCGACGAAGAGACCAACCCTATTAATTTCAGACAGAGGCTTCGCAAGGTAACCAGCGAGGGCAATGGTCTCCGCGGTCAAGTGAATCGATCGAGCCCTCCTCGCGATGTCATGCCCCGAATGCCGGTTTCGGGGATGGGAGGGATGAAATAATTACACACACCTAATGCATCTCTCTACTTCTTGCCGACCCGCAATATTTGGCAAGAATGGTAGGCAATGCCACGAATATGAGGCGTGATTTTTCATATACGGCAACACGTTGCCCTTTCTAACTCAGGTGAACGGCCTGGGCTTCATTTAAACATATTTCCTTCCTTTGGTACATACCCGGACACTGTCTTCACTTTTTGTTTCCGTTTTCTTCATAATTGTTTATGTATAGGATGATCATTTGGCGTTTTAACATTGTACGGTTGGCCGAGAGTGGAGTCGGGCATGGCTCGCATTCCGACAAAGGTTGACCGCGATATACCCAACTACATGGGAGCCATTGGAGAAGGGAATCAAATGTGTATTTCTTGGCGCGACACAATATTTTGCATGGAGTTGAGGTTTTTGAAAGCACGGGCAAAGGAGGCTTATAAGCCAGCCATACAGGAGGGCCCTCATTATATTATTACCCTGGTACTACTAGTTATTAGTACATGATTGAATTCTAAAATAAGAATTATCAAATTGAACACTTGCTTGGTCTCGGTGACGTTACGATAAGAGTCTCATGGGTGGAGGGATTGATGTTTGGTTTGAGATACGTAGTATGTTAAGACCACTATTGAATAGTTCACGTCAAGCATGAACATGCGAGACAATTATCATCTCGTCATTTCTTATTTACTTACTATTCATGATGTAATTGTCAAACACAGAACATTGAACTCATTATTGCATATTAGAGGTTCAAGACACGGTGCTATGTGCTGTGCTTTTGACACTGCCGCACCTCTCCTGGGAACTGGAAATATTTGACGATTTAGTTCAACTAACAAATGAATAGACTTGACCGATGTTAGTTTATTCTTCAGTTGCCCGTGTTGACTTAATCTCATGACGTCTGGACTGATTCCCTCAAGCAGATTGGCCGACTTGATCAAAAAAAGTGAATCATCTCGAAGAGCGGAGTCGAACCGCTGACATCCAGATATGCTTTCCAACGATTACAGTCTGGCGCCATAAACCAACTAGACGACTTCGAGTTATTCGCTTGTGGGGTTGCGACTTTCCTGTTGGCAATCATACACAGTCCGGAATAGCGCTCCTGCATTGTACCTATCGTGCACCGGACGATGATGGGGATAGATGCAAGTGTCTGTTTTCGAGGACTACTCCCTGCATCTTCACATGTCTGCGGAACAAAACTAGCTGTTATATAGTCTACGACGAAGCAAAGTCTCTCACATGGCCGTTTGCCGTGAATTTCAAGACATCATCAGCCCATTCTGGATAGAGAGCAATAAAACGCACCGAGTCGATGACAGCATTCTTTGGAATAAGTAGACTGTGGGACGAGGTCTCGGTATAACCACATTAGGAAGTGGAGTGGCATCGAAGTAACGTTCCCCTCAGCCTTTTCACATGAAAGCCGCATCTCTCTCTCTCCTCCTGCACCGTGACTCACACTTGCAGCAATAAACCCAGAACTGTTCATCCAAGGGGCGTAGCGTCAACAGCTCTCGCACCACTCCTACGTCCCGGCCACAACTTACGGGATATTACAAATATTAGGCTTAGCGGCTAGGGAAAGGCCATGGCATTCATCAGGCAGTACCGCCCGTCAGACTTTGACGACATGGCAAACATTGTAAGTTGATTACACACACACACACACACCACACACAACTAGCCTACCTGTACCTCTCCCCCGCTCTCGAGGGTTAACGATCGTCCGGGGGTTTGGGTGGGCAACAGTGCCGGATGACGCTGGCCCCCGACCTGACGGGCTCCGAGGCGGCCTGGCGGCTGGCGCCGTACATCTGGACGCACCAGTACACGCACCTCTCGCCCGCGACGTGCTTCGTCGTCGACGACGGGGCGGGCAGGGCGGTGGGGTACTGCATCGGGTGCCCGAGCGTGGACGCCTTCGTGGAGGGCTACGGGCGGTACGTGGACGAGGTGCTGGAGCCGTCGGCCGAGGTGGCGCGGCCGGGGGACGTGGCGGGCACGAGGGAGCCGTGGCTGCTCGCAACAGGAGGGATCAACGAGACGTGCCTGGCGCAGACGGCGTACAACCCGCGGTGGCTGCTGGTCGAGGGCAACGAGGACGTGCTGGGGGAGGGGTACCGGGCGACGATGCACGTCGACCTGCTGGAGCCGTGGCAGGGAAAGGGCTGGGGCCGGAGGCTGGTCGAGCGGTTCGTGGAAGAGGTGAGGGCGCGGAAGGCGGGCGACTGTAGGGGGATCGGCATCGGGGTCGCGAGCTCTAACCGGAAGGTGGTTGCGTTCTACGAGAAGCTGGGGTTCCGGGAGTGGGAGGAGAAGGACCCTGAGGCGAGCGGGATCCGCATGGTGAAGGACCTGTGATGATGCGGAGGTGGCGAGGTTTTAGGTTGATCTTGTGTAAGCCGGTGTGGGCTTTGAGTGAGGCAAGCTGAGGAGTGACTGGGTGTGACGACGTGAGAGAGCTGCGCCTGGAGATGATCAGGATGTCAACGTGACTGATGCCTTGGTGCATTACGACTGTTGTAAGACACTGACATCATTTGGCTGCTTTTTGCATTCGTAAGGCTGCTCTCTGGTTGGCTTGTATTTTAACTGCTGCCAAGCCTGAATGGAGAAGCAATTATTAGCTACCTACTTGCTCTAAGGGGACTAACATGACGATGGCTTTCTTTGACGTCAAGCGAATCAGCACGTGGCGAGGCAAAGCGCATTCCCTTTTTGAATCAATATGGGGATTGTATTCCACATTTTCCATTTATTCCTGTAAATCGATTTCACACTAAACCTGATCGGCGGAGGAGCACGAGTTTGGCTTTGTGCCCCGGTCCTCGAACTAAATTGGTGCGGGAGGAATTAAGAAAGAAAAATGAGACAAGATCAACACCGACTCCCCATTCTCTTCTGTGTACCAAACTCGTAGAACGCCTGCAAAATCCCCAAAAGTATCTGCTGGTTTTTTTTTCTTCCTCTCTTATTTATATTGTACATATTTTCTTTCCTCATCGTAGATCGATTACCGTCTTTCCATTTGTGAAGGAAAAAGAAGAAGGGGAAAAAGGGAGAAAAATCCAAAGCTTGACATGAACTGAATCATCCTTGAGGGTACTCCTTGGGAAAAGCGGCAGAAAATTGAGCTGAGAGCAGAAGGGGAAAAAAACGTCGCGGTGCGTAACAAGCAAGTGAAGGGTATCGTCGCCGGAAGCCTGTAAAAAAGCATTCGTCGTATAATTCGTACAAGAAAACAAAGTCGTGATCGAAAATTCGGGAGCTAAGCTGACAGAATCGCCGGAAGCCGAGTAAAACAGGATAGAAGAAACATGATTAAAGGAAAGCACATGTTCTTTTTGGTGATTTTCCGAGTTTTTTTCTAGGGCTTTTTTTCTTTTACTTTTTTTCGATTCGGTTCTCACATAAAGTCCCCAATCGGTTGACTTCTTGTAGAAGGGCTGTGACCTCTTGAATGCTGTAAATCATGTTAAGAGGGGAGGCTTGAGATTGTGGTTAGAGTAGAGAATCATACTGGAAAGAGGGAACAGGTTCCACGAGGGCACAGAGGGACCAGGTCCTTAGGTGAGAGGGCAGTCGTTGCACTGCTTGTGGCCACAGCCGGTGCAGGTGGTGCTGATGACAATCATGCCACCACACTTGCAGCAGTATTCGAAGGCAGGCATGTCGACTGGTGGTGATGGGTGGGCGTGTTGGGTGTTGAAGGAGAGGTGGTAGAGGTTTGGATTCTTTTTTTTTATTATAGTCAGGCTCCGACGAGTCAAAGAAGAAGAGTCTACTGAGAAACGAGAAAGAGATAGTATGAAGAGAAAAGTCAAGGGAAGAGGCGGGAGAGAAGGTGGTGGGCAGGTCTTGTCTTAATATACACGGAGGGCACAAGCAGGGTGAGAGGCGCCCACAGGCTTTGTTGACTCAGCCGACTGGATGGATGGACGGAAGGCGTCGCTTTGCATCGCTCCTGCACCATGACTTACAACCTTCTGCTACGTAGAGTTCGAGGGATAGGGCGCGCACCAATCACAGGCCAGGCAAACTGGGAGGGAAGAGAACTAGAGCGCGTAGCACCACTGAAAACAAGCCAGCCGAGATCCCCGGTCTCGTCTGCGGAGGTTCGGGGTTAAAAAAATATTACGGGAGGCAGGGAGAAAACATGCTATCCTGGCATGAGGTGCATCGGGTGCGACCTAAGGGACGAAGGTTTTTAGGGGGGAGGTGATCCATACGTAGATAAGGGCAGGAGGCGACGAATAGATTTTCGAGAGGTAATTCCGCGAGGTCATCGCGCGGCAGGCCGTCTGTCATGAGTGGATGCACACGAGAGGTGGGAGGGCGACAAATGACGAATTTCCATCTGTCAAGCCTGGAGGAAGTGCATGCTGAGTGGTGGTGTGTGGGGAGAGAGCTAAAGTAGCGCCGCGACCCCGAAGGGTGTGGGCAGATGCATCCGAGAGACTGCAACCTCCTGCTCCCCTCTTTATTAACGCAGACACTCCACTGGCCGCCGTGAGGGAGGACCAGGCAAGCAGCAAATGGCCATGCGCCGTGAGGAGGTGTGCTCGCCGCTTCTGCCTCCGTCTGCAGGTTGGGTTCCAGCCTACGGACCACGGGCCCCTTGCTCTGCTTGCACTTGGCTCCAAAGCGGCATGGCGCGGCCGGGCTAGACACAAGCTGACTAGATTTCCCACGGGGCAGTTGGGGAAACACACGTACGATGACATCAAAGGACATGGGGAGCGGACGTAGGGTCCTTGGGGGTTTGTTGACGTTTGCCCTCTCTGGGTAGCTGGCTCTCGGCGTGCCTACGTGACAGGAACGCATCTGGGGGGCCTAGCACTGCTTGGTGCTGCACCCATGTTCAACATATGCAGTCCTCATGCACTCTCATGTAGAGCCGACGTTTGATCGAGCTTGGCCTTTGATGGAGGGGGGAGGGTACCTTAGCACTGGGCCGACTCCTCCCCCCACGTACCAGATGCGAAAAGTGGAATTGAATTGTGGAAGCGGAAAGGGGAATGGAGGGGAGAGGGAGGGTTGGAGGGTCGGAAAGTTGACGGATCACCAGATGCCTCACCTCCCTGGCGAATGGAGGGGATGGCTACTACGGAAGAAAGGGCCAAAAGGGGGGTTTGAGGGCGCTACTGGGCATTCCACCAGCTCTGGCGGGTTGCAACCTCTGGGCTGTGGTTGCACCTGAACCCCCACCACCAGCATGATTATTGCACGATAGCTTGGATAGCTATGCTTTATTTATGCGCCAGCGACGACAGAAAAGCTTGTGCGACTGATCCACACCCGCCGGCTCCCACAGGCAGGACGCATCTAGACCATTAGCTCATACCACTCGTCACCCGATGGCCCACGAATTCCGCGATGCAGTGTCATTGCAGTGCCATTTGTCGGAGGGGAAGATCGCTTGGATGCACCCATCACATGTTGGCATTCAATTCCCCTCTCCATCAATCCATCGGCAAGCGACGACCAGGAATGGAAGTGGTGGCACGATGCTGATCAGCCCGCGAGTTCGCCTCCTCAGCAGACGAAGCAGCGGAGCCCACTGTCCTCCTCGGCTTTCGTCCTTGACTCAAAAGGCGGATAGATCTGTGCATGGCCGTGAGCTACGAGCCAATCATCCCACTGTCGAGCATGTCAGCGCTAAAACCCCAACATCCAGCCAGAGACGAGCCAGAGACGAAAACGGCCGCCTTGTATTTCCCCTCCTTTGCAGCCTGGTTCTGCCAAGTGGATGACATGAATCACGGTAAATGCCCTGAAATGCAAGGTATTGGTTTGTTGAAGTTTTATCGACAATAGAGACCCTTGATGATGAGTAAGAGAATGCGCTGTTAGGCACCGAGTCTGCCTTGGTGTATTTTATCAATTGCCTTGGTGTCATGTCGAGATTCAAACCCAGCACGCCTGAGCTGCCGTGCTTCATCTCGCCCGCTTAGCTGATGAAACAGGCTCCCCCGGATTTTCGGGTGGTGAAGCCACGAAACCTTGTCGTCTGTTAGCGGGCTGAAGAGAGACGACAACCAATGCGAGGGAGGAGCCCTACTCCCTCGGAGTGCCTCCTGTGTCTCCTCACCTCGTCCTCCTAACTCTATCCAGCCTGACCTGCTCATTCGTTTTTTCGGACCAGGGATGAGACAAGAGCATGCCTGATGATCTGTGGGGAAACGGTTGAGCGGGCAGCAGTAACACTGCAGTAGCTCATGAAGTGGCGTCCCATAAGGCGCATCCGGCCATATGCAATTGTGTATCCATCTGCCTCTGCTCCAACCAACAGATCCAAAAGCCGCCGAAACAAATCCTCAGCCCGCCAGGCATCTGGAGAAGAGACGAAACACCGTGGGATCTGCAGCAACATATGGCACGCGGTTCCAGCTCGGGTTTGCCGACTATGCGCTGCCATGTGGCCCATGCAAACCGAATTGGAAACAAGGCGCAGTATCGCCAAGCAACGCCGGCGCCGGCGCCATCATCTTATACACGAGATGAGTCGACGCATTGTAGATTTTTAGTAAGTGGATTAATACTGAAACAGCCCAGATCGCGGTATCTTTACGAATTGGTCAATTCTACGGGCATTCGGGCAGGTCAAAGTGTGTTGACCGCTGCTTGGACCAGTGAAGCGGCCCCCAGAGGCGATGATGCCCTGTAGCTTCTGCCTAAGTAGGTGGCTTGGAATAGCAGCATCGTGAGATAAGCAGTGAGAGTGTCGGGCTTTGGTGCCTCGATAGTATATCCCGACTAGCAAGGTAAGTGGAATAAGGCTTGGAATAAGGGTAATCTGAAGATGGATGTATTTTTAACTGCATCCGCCATTGGCCACCTCACCATCTCTGTTTACAGCCTTGGGGCGACCCGGCAGCACGTCGTATGCGATCGGATCTGACAATCTCGCAATTCTGCCTGGTTCCTTGGGCCGGGGCTTACCTTATGCTTTGTGAGCACGCCGAGGCGGCATCCCCAACAGAACAGATGCCGGAGTAGGCAATCCTGATGCCAGTCGCCCATGGCCACGACCCCAGATGGACCGAATGATCCCAGCCAGGCGGATTGACCCCTGGGCGAGCTGGTGGGAGCCCAACAGCCCTGTGGCCCCTGAGGCTGTGGTGTATTAGTGGACGCGTGGCGGCTTAGTCACGCGCCGGTCCCCCTACGCCGCCGCAAGCCCGCCCTGGGCCAATCAGGCGTGCAGGCTCGGATCTGCCTTGCGGACTGCCGTGCACCAGCTGCGACCAAAAGCATGGCGCCGTGCCGTGGCTAGTGCGGCTCGCTGTGGCCCTTTCCTGGCCTTCCGGCGCAGGGTTGCGTACTCTGCCTTGGAGTCTGTCGTGGCACCGCTGGTTGTGTCGGGCCCCGAGCATAGTCTAGATGCCGTGGCGATTGCCTTGCACTGGGCCTTGGGGTAGGCCATCGTCCCGGTCTACTATAAGTCGTCGGGAGCCGCACATCGTCAGTCATGGCGGCTACACAGACAGCGGCCTAACCCAAGGGCTGAGAACGCTTCCTCTCCTTCAACCACGATATCTTGACGTCGTTCTCTGCCCGGTAACTAGCCATGGTAAAGCGACCACTCCAACCTGATCCCGCTTCAGGTGCAAAGCGACTAACACTGCGGCAGAGAATCCCAATCAGGGGTCCCTCCGTCGTCAACGAGAAGACTGGCTCTTCTCAAGCTTCGCCATTACATGCGAGCCTCTCATTACATCCAGTCTCGGCCAAGGAGGCGCTGATCGTCAAAGTCACCCCCCCTCATGAGCCGGTAGAAAAACTCCGCCAAAATAAAAACTACCATGTTCCGTGTGACATCGTACTGGTCATCGATGTCTCGGGGAGCATGGGCGCCCCGGCCGACGTGCCCGGCGAGGTAGAGAGCACTGGGCTTTCGGTTCTTGACCTCACTAAACATGCAGCCATGACCATCATCGAGACGCTCGACAAAGACGACCGCCTAGGAATTGTGACATTCGGCAGCAGATCTAAGGTTGTGCTGACCCTTACTTCCATGAATGATGAGGGCAAGAAAGGCGCCCGTGAAAGGGTCAGGGAGATCGAGTCCCGTGACGCCACAAACCTGTGGCATGGTATGCTTGACGGTATCAAGGTTTTGAGACAGGGTACGCCATCGAGCCGAGTGCCGGCACTCATGATCTTGACCGACGGAAAGCCCAACCACATGTGTCCCGAGCAGGGTTATATCCCCAAGCTTCGTTCTATGGAGTCCTTGCCCGGTTCTGTTCATACATTCGGATTTGGCTACAACCTTGAATCTGGTCTCCTCAAAGCCATCGCTGAGTTTGGAGGCGGCAACTACGCCTTCATTCCAGATGCTGGTATGATCGGAACCGTCTTTGTTCACGCTATCGCCAACCTACAGTCGACTTTTGCAACGAAGGCTGTTCTCACTCTGTCTTATCAAGAGCCATTGTCACTTGAGGAGATCAGGGGTGACTATATCGGGAGACACGCACCAAAGTCTGACGGCCCAGAGAGCACACTTACTTTGGAATTGGGTAACCTGCAATATGGCCAGACACGAGACATCTACATCTCGGCGAAGGGTATAGGAGAAGACCCCTTTGATGAAAAGGGAGTGACTAGCGTGACGGCCCGTCTGAACTATTTCCCAAGCGGAGGCAAGCCAATGGGGTCCGCCGATGCAACATGCAGCATGCTGGCAGATGCCGAGCTCTCACCGAACGAGATCGCATACCACGAGTCGAGGACGCTGATATCCTGGTTTCTCGCATCCATCTTCCCCGCCAATGTCAAGGAAGTCTACCAAGCACTCAAGCACGAGCAACTCAAGGCCAAGGTGGCTGAGCTTCCCGAGCTGATCAAGGAACTTCCAGCCCAGAAATTCGACGACGAGCTGAACAAGTCTCTCGTCGAGGACCTCGCAGGAGAAGAGCCCAGAGGCCAAATATCCATCGCTCTCCGCACCCCAGAGTATTTCCGCAAATGGGGCATACACTACCTCCCCTCCATCCACAACGCCCACACCAGGCAGATCTGCAACTCCTTCAAAGACTCTGGCCCCCAGAAGTACGGCAACGATAGCCCGCTCTTCATCGCTTGCCGTCAGCGCCTCGACAATGCCTTTGATCAACTCCCCGCCCCCGAGCCATCAGCTCCACACCTCCGCTATGCGGCATCCTCAAGCCCCCCGACCTCCAACCACCACCCCTTCTCGAACCAGCCCTTCTCCATGTCCCGCTACCACAACCCGGCGGGCAGCTGCTTCGCCGGCTCCACCCCCGTGGAGCTCGCGTCCGGCCGCCGCGTG